CCTGTTTTTCTACTTTTGACCAATTGCCAGTTTTCAGGACTGGCTATGAATCATTTTTATTGTGATTAAATGCCGAGGTCACATAACCAATGGAAGCTGGTCGTTTGTTTCTGAAGACACAATAGTCCTGATTATCTAGCTTACTTTAAAGGATGAACTTTATAATGTCTGAAAGCCTGGCATTCATATCGCCAAGTTATTGCTAAACAATTCTCTTTCAAAAGTAATCCTCTTGCAAAATAAAAACCTACTTTACTAAAGTATACTCCGCTGAACTGCTTTGACGAGGAATCATTAACCATTGTATAACTTCACCATCTGAGATGTATTCATTCATTGGTGATTAGAACTCTCAATATTTTGTCATGTTTAGATAAATCTTAAAAAAAAATGACATTGACATATATCATTTTTAAAAAATTCATCCATAGGATGTGGCCATCTCGGGCCAGGCTGATATTTATTGCCCATCCATAAGTTACAGTTGAGAGTCAACAGCATTGCTGTGGGTCTGGAGTCACATGTAGGTCAGACCAGATAAGGCCAGCAGTTTCATTCCCTAGAGGACATGGGCGGCACGGTGGCTCAGTGGTTAGCACTGCTGCCTTACAGCACCAGGGACCCAGGTTCAATTTAACAATTGTCCGTGTGGAGTTTGCACATTCTCCCTGTGTCTGCATGGGTTTCCTCCAGGTGCTCTGGTTTCCTCCCACAGTCCAAAGATGTGCAGGGTAGATGAACTGGCCATGCTAAATTCCCCATAGTGTCCAGGGATGTGCAGGCTAGGTGGATTAGCCTTGGGAAATTTGAGTTTATGGGGACAAAGTAGGATATGGATATGGATCTGGGTTGGATGCTTTTTAGAGGGTCGGTGTGACGCAGTGGGCTGAATGGCCTGCTTCCACACTTTAGGCATTCTTTGATGAGTGAACCAGATAGGTTTTTCCAACAATTGGCAATGGTTGCATGGTCATTATTAGAATCTTGATTTATTGAAGTCAAATTCTACCATCTGCCATAAGAACATTACATGGATCTTTAGATTAATAGTTTATCAATAATACTACTAAATTATCGCCTCCCTAGACCTGACTAATGAATAGTTAAGAATGCTACCATTGACCCATTCTGCATTTTTACCATTCTTACCTCCTTCACTTCATTTGGGAATTCCTTCAGTTGCCTGGTCTCTAGCTCTGGAATTCCCTCCCTAAACCTCTCCACCTTGCTACCCCTTTCCCTTCCTTTGAACCGTTCATTGATGCTAATCTCTCTGACCAAGCTCTTGGCCATCTGTCTCCTCCTGTGACTCAGTGTCAAATTTCATTTAAAGATTACTCCAGTAGCATCTATGAAGTTAAAAGTTCCAGATCAATCAAAATTGTTCCTGTCAGCTTAATGAAACCCACGAGAAAGACAACATGTTTTTATTGTACATTAACTGGAGGCCAATGAAATTTCAGCAAACCAGCAAAGAATTAATTGAATGCCAATCTCAACAAAACAACAGGAATTTACTGTACACAACAGAACATATTTAGAAATATAAGAGATGACACAGTCCATAATTAGTTTTGATCTCCTTAGGAGGTCCATTATGGAGAACAGGCAAGAACTGAAAGATCAGCCACAATCTTACTGAATGGTGGAGTAGGCTGGATGGGCTGAATATTCCATATTTGCCAAGAGGAATTTTTCAGATTAGTCTTCACTTTGAGGCCCTTTCCCAGAGAAGGGAAGTAAAGGCAGGTGATGAGGTGGAGAGAGGATTATGAATAGGAAGAAATACTGAGCCACAAGATTCTAGCCATCATTAGTGTGGGGTAGGCTTGGTGGAGAAACATTTCTTTTCCTGTCTGTTAATTCTATACCTTCAAAAACGCACACACATTTTCAGCCTTTTATTTCTTTTTGGGTGTAATTGCAGGGCTGGGTCTTTCCAATATTTTCAGCCTTGGCTTATGTTGCTCAACAAGTAATTTATTGTCCGAACATGCAAACAAGAGCAGGAGGATGCCATAAAGGCCCCTTGAGTCTGCTCTGCCATTTGATAAGATTCGATAGTAAACTCTACTCCATGTTCCTGCCCACTTACTTACCGAGAATCTATCCAGCTTTGCCTTAGCAACATTCAAACACTCTGCTTCCTCTACCACAAGGCAGAAAGAAAGTTCCAAGGAGTTACGGTTCTCCTTGAGGAAAAAAAAGTGCTTCAAATTGCCTGACTAGATGACCCCTTATTTTTAAACGGTGAACCTTAACTCTCAATTCTTCTACAAGAGGAAACACTGTCTCCATATGCATCTTTTCAGGACCCCTCTGGGTCTTATGTCCATCTTAAAACACACCATTGATCTTCAGTGAATCTCAGAAGTCATAACAGAAATGGACACAGAATTATATTCTAAGGCAAAGTATTCCTTTGACATTGCGACACTTGCATTAAACCTGCAGGGGGTGAGTTAGGACATCTGATATTAGATGGTAAGGTGATTAATTCTGTTAACTGACACTATCTCAAGTTCTGCCAGTAATCATTACCCAGAAAGTCAAGATCAGTTTAGGAAGACACACTGATCCCCTTTCACTGACAGGCCCATGTTGTCAAGGCAGTGGGAATGGTCAGACTAAAGTTGCATTTGATTGACCATAAAATTTAATTTGTAGTGGGATAAAATTGCACTTTAACCTGGTTAAACTCTGTGAAGGTAGAGTTTGACATGATGGTTTGCAGCCTGTCAGGACTGCTTTAAGTTATAACTCATGGTCACAGGATGCAGGGTGTGTACAATAAATCTCTGAGCACAAGAAAGCAATTGACTGGCCACATTTTTCTGCTGGTTAGTGGCTCCTTCAATATTGTCAGCTGTGGCTCAGTTGAAGCACTCTTGTCCCTCAGCTTCTAGGTTCAAGTCTGACTCTAGGCTTGAGAACCAAGGGAGTTTTGCACTCAGAGGAGCTATCTTTCAGATGTGACATTAAACCAAAACCTCATTTGTCCTCTCAGGTGAACATAAGGAGATCCCAAGACACTCGTTTGAACATAAACCAAGAAACTCTCTCCATTATCCTGGCCAATATTTCACGACACAATAAAATCACAAGAACAGATAATCTGGTCATTATCACATTACAGTTTGTGGGATCTTGCTGTGTAAAAATTAGCTGCTTTATTCCCTACATTACAACAGTGACTGTGCTTCAAAGAAATAAAACAATGCCTGTAAAATCCACTGGTCATGAAAGGTTCCAGATAATTGTTAAGTCTTTCTCTTTGAATTTGAAAACATGCATTTGCCTGGGCTGAAAATAAATGGAGTTTTGTCTGACATCAGTGTTGATTTCTTTTTATGTTAACAATAATGCAAAGGGATACTGCATAGGCACACACAGGGGGGTGACTTTAGTTCATGTGGAAGGTATATTACTGATTCCACGAACAACAGCCTGCTTTTATATAACACCCTTAATATCCTAAGATGTTTCCTAGGAGTGTTATCGAACAAAACTGACCCTGAGGTGCACGATGATATTTTAGGACCAGTGGCTAACAGCTTTATCACTAAGATAGGTTTTATGGAGTGACTGAAGGAAGGAGAGAGAAACACGGTTGGGTTTTAGGGAGCGAATTCCAGGGCATGGGGCCCAGACAAGTGAAGGCACAGCCACTAATGGCAGAGTGATGGAAACTGGGGGATACACAAAAGGACAGAATTGCTGGAATGCTGTGATGTCGGAAGGTTGTGGGATTACAGACGTGGGGTGGGGGGGTTTGTGCTGTGAGGATGCAGAGGGATTCGAACACAAGGATGAGAATTTTAAGATGCCAAAGTCCTGATGCCATCCACAGAACTGGATTTGTTTTGTCCTTTACAATTGGATCAAAGCTGACTAAATAGCCTGAACCAAATCCTAGAAAAGACATGCATATTGCAGCTCTGCATTCTGTTCAAGACATCCACCTGTAACTATTGTATTAGTGAAGGGTGATTCAGTTATAATGACCTTCTCTCCAATGATTAGATTTCAGTGAGAAATGACTATCTGGCTGCATTACTCAAAGGTAAATGGTGCTCATTTTTTTTGATCTAATATTCATGTTTAATCTAAAATACTAAGGTGAGCACTTCTGTCCTTCAGTGTTGTATTGTCCGATGTAAACTTTGTTCATTTAGAGAATTCTCACACTCATAAATGCTTCGAAGGGCTCGTGGTGAGCTGCCCTCTTGACTAACAGTGGTCTGTATGTTGTGTACATCTACAGTTCACAATCCCTTGGCGCTGTTAAAGAGGAAGCTCCAGGATGTTGACCAGCACCAGCAAACAAACTGCAAATTACTTCCAAGTCAGGATGGGGTATGTCCTTATGGATTTGGAAGAGGGTGGTTTCTATGTAATTGTAGCCCTTTATCTCTCGGTGATGATGGTCACAGGTTCAGAAGGTGCTGCCAATGCAACATTGGCAAGTTGCTGGAACCGATCTTTTAGATGGTACACACCGCAGTCATGTTGCACCAATGGTGGAGGAAGTGAAAAAATGTACAAACTGGTGGATCCCATAGCAGTCATGGGGAATTCTGAATTCTTAATTCCGGCCTCCGCTTGAATTGGAAAATGAATATATTCTTCATTCCTTAATTAGATGATTCTTGACTGTCTTTTAAAGTCATGGAGTCACACAGCACAGAATATGCTCTTTGGCCCATCAAGTCTGCACTGACCTATCTACACTAACCCCAGCTTCCAGCTCTTGGTCCACAGCCTTGAACATTGTGACATTTCAAGTGTTCATCCGTATACTTGTTAAAGGTTGTGAGGTTTCCAACCTCAAATAAACATTAAATGTTTGTTTGTTCCTATTCTTTGTTGGATATTTTTTAAACTAACAAGCAGAAATGTATGCATCAAACTTTTAAATATACAGTTTTCCATTCCCCTATTATTTTTGTATTCAGTGTCCAGGATAGCAATATTCAATGCAAATTCGTAAGCAGTGTATTACAGATCTTAGCAATTCACTGCGTTAAATAAAAAATCTGCTCCCCTTCTGTTCCTTAGCCAATTCCTGCTCTATAAATGCCTGTCTCCTGATTGCTAACCTTCCTGTAAGTAGAAATTCATTTTTTTCATTCTTTCTTTTAAACCAACATTTGTTGCCTTCCCTAATTGCACTTGAACTGAGTGGCTCGCTCAATAATTTCAGACATTTTTAGAAATTGTCATTTCGCGATAATGACAGTTTGGAGTTGATCACATTGCTATGGGTCTGGAGTTACATACAGACCAGACCACCAAATTTCCTTCCTTAAAGGACATCATTGAACCAGACGGATTTTTGTAAGCAACTGGCAGCAACTTTCACAATCTCCATTACAGAGATTAGCTTCACCATCCCGCATTTAATTTAATTTCACGGCAACATTTGAATCCATTAGCCTAGACTCTGGAACACTCACCCCAGTGACATTAACCACTAGGCCGCCATCTCCTTTGCTTTAATTATTCTAATCTTTAACCTTTCTTGATTTTGAAAACTTCAATTAAATCTTCCCTTGGCCTCTGTGCGAACAACAGGGCGCCAGAGTCAGGATGTCAAGTTGAACTTCACTGTCCCTTCAGAGTTGGAGCTGGGAATATTTATGAGGCTCCATGCAGTGACCTTCTGTACCACAGATCGAGGCCATTAACCCACCTCCAGTTTACCTTCCCTTAGGTCATGTTCCTGCCTCCTGCACAGACACTTGTGACACAGTAGCAAGGGAATTATTACCAGGGGAGATCATAAACGTAACTCGTTCAGTTCTCTCCCGCAATCTGGTTTTAATATCTCTCATAAAGCCCTTATTGAAGTCTACTAGAAGATATCAAAGTGAACTGGAATATAATGAAGGTAACATAATGAGGAGGAATCAGTCAGAAAATTCATTGCGCGTGAGCTGTAGCATTTCCTCACATACTGTCATGGATCTTCTAAATGCTGCAAATGCCTTTTTATTTATTTTTCATGGTATCATTGGCTAGGCCAGCTTTTGTTACTTATTTCTAGTTGCCCTCGACAATGTGGCGAAGCGACTGAAGTCTGAATTTGTTGGATGTGGTGCTGCTTTGTCCCGGATGGTGTCGAGCTTTTTCAGTGTTGTTGGGGCTGCACCCATCCAGGCAAGTGGGAAGTATTCCATCACACTCCTGACTTGTACCTTGTGGATGATGGGCAGAGAGGTTGTTTCCACTAGAACGAGGGGGCACAGCCTCAAAATTAGGGGGAGCAGATTTAGGACTGAGGTCAGGAGGAA